TAATTTGTAGTGGCAGAGGAATAAAAGTCTTTATTCGCCAATGTACAGCGAAGACTAGCTCACTAGCTAGAGCCATTACTCCGACTACTGGCGCCATCCCTGATGCGGACAGTGCGATAGTGAAACTACATCCGCGGACTGACGAGAGGCGTCCCTCGACATCACAAATCGGCGTACTGCCTTAGGCACTGGCGTCACGGGCTTCATTATGGAGCCGACTTAGAAGCGGCTATCATTCGTGCTGACTTGGCTGCTGTGCTGAAGTCCAGAGACCACTCAAGGCCCCGTTCAACTCCAACGCTCTCTCGCAAACTAAATGCAAGAAGCGTTTTAGCTTTACAAAGAACGAGCTTATCGTTTAGGTTTCGCTATTTGAGCTGGGTGGAAGGCATGGGACGAATGCAACATGGGTTGAAGGGTTTATGTATCTTACTCGCAGTCCCGATCAGGTGGGAGGTTATACAAGAGGTTTATGGAGGAAGAGCAGTGAGCGTGTTTTCTAACATATTCTTGTTCATGAGTACCTCGACGCCAATTATGGCAGATTGTTCAGTTCAACCACGACTACGTAGCTGAACATTTACAGCAGTATGCTAATGCAATATTTAGCGAAGGCGCTCATATGTACAATGTGTGGAGTTTTATAAATGGTATCTTACGTGGAATATACAGACCAACAGCTCGTGATGACATGAGGGATGGGTTTAAATTACAAAGCCAGCAGTCATTATACAGTGGAAATCAAAGGACAAATGTGCTAAATAAAGTCTAACTCCCCTGACAGCATTATCGCACATTTCTAAGGGTCATTATAAATACAATCCAAGTGAAGCTTCGCAAGCGGGTCTCTTCAAACAGGTTTAAATGGAGCACGTGAGATATCTCTTTGTCGAATTTCTCTTTCTGTGTCGCTGCGTATGCTTCTTCCAGGCGCACGAACTGCTGAACTAGCCCAGGTAACTTATACAGTATAGTGGCCCTGTTTATTGACCACTTCTAGAAACTCCTCGATGCCACTCCCAACAGCTAAACGCAGCTCAAATGCTTGCCACTTTTTCTGTAGCAATGGCAGTCGTTCTTGAACTGGCTTCGCGTTCAGCTAAGTGCCTACAGCTCCTGACACACCTGCAGCAACATTCTCCCACGGCTGTCCTACAGGCCGTACTGGGCGCTAAACGGCTTCGCAGCACTGACCTCTCGCATAAGCTCTTTATCGCTGTTCTGATTGATACTGCCGCTGATAATTTTCGAGTGGCCCAATGCTAAAACGGAGTGACAAAGTCGCGGTCCATCTAAAATAGCTGTGCAACTCACACAGTTCACCAACGCGCTGGGCCAAACGCACGACGCGACCTCCCACGTCGACGGAGATATCCGACGTGGTCTGCGAACCCTGAGCGACTTGAGCCCTCAGGATCGCAATCTCCTGCTTCAGAGCGGCGAACTCGCGGCTCTGATGCTGCTCCACGGCAGCGACCCGCTCCTCGAGAGCCGGCCGGCCAAGGTCAACCCCAGGTTGACCATACCCGGGGCGTGTTCCCACCACCGCCGCCTCCGATCCGCGACGCCCGCGGCTCAACACGCTGGATTGTTGAGCGTATTGTGAACCATAGTATCCCAAAAACGAACCGGCAGCCGGTTCGTTATCGTATTCGTTGGAGAGGGTTTCCGCCCCACCAAGATACATGGGAGCCGCGGGACGTCCTGCTGCAGGACGTTCCGGAAATGGTGAGGGCGTACGAAGCTCACCACGCACTGCCGGCGCGAAGGTAGTGCGAGCGCTGTAGTCACCTGCAGCGCCCGAAGGCCCGCGCTCGTCGCGTTCCTCACGTGCCAGGAACTTGGCACGGAGATCTTTGAGACTCGCAGGTACACGAATCGTCGTGTACCCGTTTAGGTCGCGGTCGCTCAAGCGCGCCGCACCCGGAAGACACAACGTGCACTGTTGGTCTTCGGGCACAGCGCATGGAATACCAGCGTCCACAGAGGATCTGTGGAGCTGCTCCAGCCTCCCGCGCGTCGAGAATGTCTCGAAGCGTTCACGGGCATGCTTAACCCGTTCGCGATAAGCTTCCGGCTTCTTGTTGAAGTTCTCAACAAAAGCATTCCAACTTTGACAAAGTGCCTGCCATTCAGGCACTTTGCTGCGAGAAGAGGTCTTCTTGCTGGAGAAGTACTGGAGCTCATGGAAGAGCCCGATGTAGTAGTCGCGCCTTTGATTCGTTAACGGATCAAAGTGCTGCCCCTCCGCCACAGCATCGTCGTGGATGCCGCTGCATACGTACAGCGGGATTTCGTTTGGAGGCACGGTGTTGCCCACGCGGTCTGCGATCTCTGACGCAGACGGCATCCACGGATCACGCGCTGCCTGAGCAGCGCGCGGAGAACTTGAAGACGCCACATCACGTGGGGTACTCAAAGCCCCGGCAGCAGAGAGCGGAGTGTCGCTCTCGCCGCGCGAACGCTTCGAGCTCGAAGCGTCCGAGTCGTCTCCTTCGCGAGGGCGTCTCGACCCGGCGTGCGGGTCGAGACAATCGCTGTCGATAGACTCCTTGCGCCGGCTTGACGAGGCCTCGCCCTCTTCCATCTCCACGACGCCGTCCCCGTAGTCAACGGCGTCGTTGGCTACTGAGGAGCCTTCGAGGACAATCTCCGGCTGGGTTGTCCCCGCCGCAGGCTTGGCAGCAAGAGCGTCACGCTTTGCTTGGTGACGCTCAAAGTACTCGGGGACAGAGAACCTCTCTGTCTCCGTGGACGTCTTCTCCTCTGCTGCAGCGGCGGTCTTCTCCTTCGGCGAGCTCATTTGCGGAATGAGCTCGAGTGAGATCGAGTTTTCTTTCTCCCAACGCGAAGAATTGACGAGTGGTCAATTTCCTGATTAACGTGCCGTGACCCGGCGCGTCTAACCTTGAGGGGGGATGGTGTAACGGGGTACACGCGCAAGTGGCTACAATCAATTGCGACTCTAACAGACGCGACGTCTGTTAGAGGTTCGAAAGACTTTTTCGACTTTGGTGTAGACACACCAGAGGCTACATACATTTACGATCACCACGACGGGTGGTCCATAGAGACTTAGGATTCCTATTGGCTGAAAGCAGCATCTTTTAGCCAATGAACGACATGCATGTTAGCAGAATCCTGCCAAAAAGCCGTTGGCAGATTCCTAACTTAGAATATTGCATTTAGATGAAGTCAGAAAGCATAAAACAAAAATAGCAGTTCTCATTTAAACCCAAAAACATTATTTGGATCGTTTATTTAGATTTATCTATACTCGGAGGCCCGAGTATAACTAACTCTAGTTTAAACTAAGCCACGCTTCCTCACACACATGCGCACACGTGTAAGCTAAACTAGTGAGCAAAAGTAGGCCCATTACAATGCAGATGTCGTCAAGATAAACGACCACGAACGGTAGATGACTCAGCAGCTTGCGCATCAGGCGTGTCCACGTGCCTGGTATGCCGGTCAGACCCATGGGCGCCACGTTCCAATGATAGATCTCATGGTTCGTCCTGAATGCCGTGTACTGCTTTGACGTCGGAGACATGCGCATTTGGTGGTATCCACTCGCGAGGTCGAGAATCGAGAAGACCACTGCGCCCACCATGCGATCGAAGAGTTGTTCGATGCGCGGTCGCGGGATCTTAGCCACATCCGAGGCGGCATTCACCAAGCGATAGTCGATGACCCATCGAATCGGCATGAGCGGGTTGTTCGAGTGCAGCCACTCCAAGCAGGATGGGAACTTGCCCGTCGCGGGATCCTTATTCGGCACGCCGAAGATGTTCGATACCCAGGGAGAGTCCGACACTTCGACCCAGTTCTTCTTCAGCAGCTCTGCCACAAAAATGTCCAATGCTTCCTGCTCAACCTTCGAGAGGCGGAAGGGAGCTCGGTTGCTTGGCGTCGCACCTGGTTTCAAGACCACTTCGTGCTCGATGGAGCGGCTTGGCGGTAATCTAGGTGGCAGCTCTGCTGGAAAGCCATCTGCGAACACTTCAAGAACCGCTTGAAGCTGCAATGGCACGGACTTCACCTTGGGCGACGTCTTCACCGTGACATGATACAGTTCGACGTACTCGTCAGCCTTCACCTTCTTCTCGAACTCCGCAGCCGCAAGAACACACAGCGGCGACGCGTCTGTACCATCGTCACCTTCGTCGTCAAAGATGCGTGGTAAGGTCTGGTGTCCCAGCGCTGCTAGTGAGCTCGGTCCCAACGGCATACTGAAGTAGCGTGCCTTCACATGGTCATCGAGCTGCTGCTGCAGGTTCGGGGGAAGCGGGTGCTGAAGAAATTCCGGTTTCACTTCCACTGAAGCCACCGTCGGTCCCGCCACCTCAAGACTGCTGTTCACGGAACCGAAGTCATGTAGTACACGCTGGTTTGGGAAGCGCATCACTCCGGTTTGCCAATTGATGATCGGGTTGAACTGCACTAACCACGGGTGACCGAGAATCACGTCTTGGTTTGAAGATACCTCCCATTCAATGAGAGAAACTTCGTTGAAGGCTCTGCCAGCAAAGCAGACAGTCTCCAAACACTGCTGTGCGGTACGCGCCGGGGTTGTCGTGCCATCAGAGCGCTCGGCCGTGACCTTGGTGGCCTCAACGTAGTGTTGCGCGAGGCCCGGACGCACAATGTTGCGCTCTGCCCCACTGTCGATCAAGGCTCGCACTGCCTGGCCGTTCATCGCTCCCTTGAACCTCAACAGTTCACGATTGGGCGACAACTTCGCGTCGAGAGACATCATGTTCAGCTGCAACCGCGGTTGTCTGCGTAGGCGTCGTCATCGTCGTCGGATACGTCGTCGTCTTCAACAATACGGCGAAACGAGCCCTGGTTTGCGCGGAAAGAACCGCGCCCTTGTGGAGGACGAGATGAGCCTCGGGGGTTGTTACGCGCTGGCCTCTTAGGACACGTAGCCAGGCGGTGTCCGGGCTCCTTGCAGTAGATGCAAAGATTACTTCGCAGACACTCTTCGCGAGAGACGAAGCGCAAACTCCCGATCTCCATTGGGGTCGGCTCCTCGATGTGATGTGATGACTGCTGAAGGCGTTGTGGACCTTGGCCTCCGCGGTTCACGTTGGTTCGACGCGATCCTACAGCGTGCGTACGGTCGTACATGAGTGCAAACGAAATTGCGTCTGCCGTGTTCCTGAACTGGCGCAGCTTCACCTCTTGTTTGATCTCTACGACCAACCCCTTCTGGAAATGCATGACCTTGTCGATGTCGCTCATCTCCTCTACCTTGCACATGATGTGCCGGAAGGCCGACACGTAATCTTCAAGACAGGTGAAGTTGTTCTGGTGCAGGCGTAGGAGCTGGTCACGCAAGTGTTCTTGCCGATCGGGTGTCGTGAACTCGCTAGTCAGCGGCTCCTTGAACTGCGTGACCGGGTGCAGGAAGTTCCCGTCGTGGGAGACGTACTCGCGGTACCAAGCCGCTGCTGGTCCCTTCAAGTTTGCCACCAAGAGCGACAAGGGGCGCTGCTGCGGCGAGTCGGCGCCGTACTTGATGTTCTTCGACTCAAAGTAGAACTTGGCGCTGAAGAGGTAGTCCGCGACGTCGTCGTCCTTGGTGCCGGAGAACTTCGGCATGGCGATGCCCTCGGCCCGGTACTCGCGCGTGTCTGGCGACGAAGAGTCGGCCACCGACGGTTGCTGCTGCTGCGAGGTGGATTGCTGCTGCTGCTGCTGTTGCAGTGTCGCCACCATCTGGCGCTGCAGCTCGGCTGTATGTGCCATGAACTGCTGCTGCTCGTGCATCATCGCCGCGAGCGAGGCGAACATCTGCTGCACGCTGTCCGCGTGTTGCATCGCTGCTTCATCCATGTTTGTGCCTACGCTAGACACGTCGTCAATAGATGGCTGGGGCGCGCAAGCTCCTCAGCCAAATCCATCAAAGTTTGAAGTCGCAGGCACTCCCTGGAGCGCTGCTTCCGACAATGTCTGTAAGCCCCAACGAAGTCACAGAAGCTCGTCCTGGAGCTCTGTTTCCGACAATCAACAAGCGGAAACCACTCAGCGAGCAAAACCTTCAAGTGCTGATGAGGTCACCGAAGAACCTCAAGTCACCGCAGTCACCAGAAGCCAAGCTCGGCGAGTGAGGTTCGAAGATCCCGAAGTGCAACGGCACACTAACCACGGTGACGTGAGAGGTCAGGAGGTTGAACAGACGGAGCCAGAAGAGACGCCAACCCGTCCAGACAACGCATCAGAGTCAGCGAGCGGAGCAAACGAAGCACAAGATGCAAACGACAACATCGTCACCAACGGACCAGCTCCTGCTACTCCAAGTGATTTGCCCCCCACACACGTGGCAGACTGCTGGGGTATAGCTTGACCAGCAGCTCGCGCCCTTCGGCGCTCGCCCCCCAACTCCCCCGCTAATAGGAGGCGGCAAGCAACGTAAAGGAAAAGGATACAACACCCCCAACAAGGCAACAACTCCGGATCTGGTATATTACTTATCGGATCCACAAGATCTACGGCCAAGACCAAGGATCGACCTACCCAGACCCGCGTGAAGGAACCCCCACTGCGGATCTACCCCAACATCTCCCCAAGTCCCCGCCAAGGACGTTCAAGCTCACCCCCCCCCCTGCGCATCTCGTGTCAACGAGAGAGCAGATCCAGCCCACCGACGGGTACACAAGGTGAGCCCCTCAGCAACCCTACGGTTATCGGAGTACCCCCTCCGTTAGTCGGTGTCTGGGCGCAGTGTGTGAGTGTGGGATCCCTGCTAATTCCAGCGGATCCACTCCACCACACTCCCTTCCGCCTCTCGAAGGTTGAGCAGGAAGCATTGGACATTTTTGTGGCAGAGCTGCTGAAGAAGAACTGGGTCGAAGTGTCGGACTCTCCCTGGGTATCGAACATCTTCGGCGTGCCGAATAAGGATCCCGCGACGGGCAAGTTCCCATCCTGCTTGGAGTGGCTGCACTCGAACAACCCGCTCATGCCGATTCGATGGGTCATCGACTATCGCTTGGTGAATGCCGCCTCGGATGTGGCTGAGATCCCGCGACCGCGCATCGAACAACTCTTCGATCGCATGGTGGGCGCAGTGGTCTTCTCGATTCTCGACCTCGCGAGTGGATACCACCAAATGCGCATGTCTCCGACGTCAAAGCAGTACACGGCATTCAGGACGAACCATGAGATCTATCATTGGAACGTGGCGCCCATGGGTCTGACCGGCATACCAGGCACGTGGACACGCCTGATGCGCAAGCTGCTGAGTCATCTACCGTTCGTGGTCGTTTATCTTGACGACATCTGCATCTTCTCGCGATCGATGGCTGACCACGTTGAGCACTTACGGCAAGTCTGCGAAGTCCTTCGCACTAACAAGCTTTACGCCCGTCCTGACAAGTGCGACTTCGGACAAGCCTCGGTTGACTTCCTTGGCCACAGCATCTCTGCTGATGGGTTGCACGTGGACGCTCGCAAGACTCGAGCCATCGGAGAGTTGTCCGAGCCTTGCAACATCAAGGACCTCCAACGCTTCTTGGTCCTCGACGGGTACTATCGTCGCTTCATCCACCAGTTTGCAACCTTGGTACTACCCCTGAGCTCTCTGGTCAAGAAGGATGTCGCTTGGGTATGGAATGAACACCAGCGCCAAGCTTTCAACGCCATTAAGCTCGCGCTCCAGCTAGCACCGGTGTTTCGTCCACCGGACTTTGAAATAACATTCATCGCGACAACGGATGCCAGCCATGCGTGCATTGGTGGAGTGCTCTCTCAGATGCATGATGGCAACGATCTCCCCGTGGCTTTCTTCAGCAAGAAGCTGGGACCTCGCGAGCTGAACTGGCCTGTTCACGAGAAGGAGCTCTTTGCGATCAAGCAGGCGCTTACACGTTGGCGTCATTACCTCCATGGAGTCTCGTTTGAAGTGTACACGGACAACTCGGCGTGCAAGTGGTTTTTGCAGCATCCACGCCTGTCGGGCCGCCTGGCCCGCTGGCTCGACTTCTTTGCGTCCTTCCAGTTCAGTCTGCATCATCGTCCAGGAGCTTTGAATGTCGTTGCGGACGCGTTGTCGCGCCCCCCCCTGATGCTTCATCGAGTCTGGGGGAGGGACCGGAGGATTGTGAGTCCATGTCCGAGCCGATTGCAGTGTGTACGGCGTGTTTGACCTCTACCACATGCACGAACATTCGAGACGTGGTCTCACGACGTACCATGGCTACGGCGAAGCTCCAAAGCATACCGTCCCGGGATCAAGCTGTGATGCTTGCCGTCAAACAGCCAGCCACAAAGGCGCTCGGAGTTGGCACAGCACAGTGGCGCATGAGGTTGAATGCAGCGTCAATGGAGGACAGCACGGTGATCAGCTCACTTCAGCTGGATAACCAAACGAAGCGGGCATTTCAGAAGGCATACGGCAGAGATCCAGTCTTCAAGCCACTGTGGAAGTCAGGACGCTCGTCGGAAGAGTACGAAGTCATTCGCGGGCTGATCTACTTGAAGAGTGACGACAATCTACGACGCCTTTGTGTACCAAACAACCGGAAACTTCGGCTCGATGTCATCCACAACGCGCACGATGCTGCCATTATGGCGCACCCTGGGATCCGCCGCACACAGCTAGCTGCAGCTCAGAGGTACTTCTGGCCGAGCATGGACCTGGATATCAAAGCCTACGTGCAGAGTTGCGAGTCTTGCATGAGGTACAAGTCGAGCACGGGGCGGAAGTCAGGCAAGCTTCAACCAATTCCGTTACCGGCAGCTTGTTGGGATGTTGTCTCGACTGACTTCATCACGCATTTGCCAGTATCCGACGGCTTTGATGCGATCATGGTTGTGGTGGACAAGTTGTCAAAGCGTCCAGTCTACATCCCGACGCACACCACAGCGACCGCGGAAGACACTGCCAAGCTGTTCTTCAACAATGTCATCCGGTACTATGGAATCCCATCGACCATCATCTCCGACCGCGACCCAAAGTTCACGTCGAAGTTCTGGAAAGCACTTGTGCAGCTGATGAAGATCAAGACAGCGATGACGACTGCCCACCGAGCGCAGGCCGACGGCCAAACTGAGCGTCAGAATCGGACTCTCGAGGACTCGTTGCGATGCTCTATCTCGTACCATAGCAACGACTGGAATGAGCACCTGCCCATGATTGAGTATGCGCACGCAACACTGGTGTTCAGCTCGTCGAAGCTGTCGCCCTTCTTCGTCGACACCGGCCGTCACCCTATGAACCCATTGGGTAGTGCGGAGAGCGATCAGCCGGTGGCGAGGTCTCGTGTGGAATACGCCTCTCGATTTGTTCAGCATCGTTAAGAGGTGATCGAACGTGCTCGGAAGAATCTGTTGGATGCGCAAGAGGCTCAAAAGAAGTTCTACGACCGGCGTCGTGCAGCAAACCCATTCAAGGTCGGTGATCTAGCCTTGCTGTCGACGCAGGACCTGAACATCTCGCACACCACCGCGGAAACGACTCTTCGCTCACGGAAGTTCATCTCGCGCTTCATCGGTCCTTACCCGATCCTGGAACTTCACGGCAACGTCGCGCTGCTGGATCTACCGGCCAACTTGAAGCACATCAGCCCACGCTTCAACATCGACAAGCTCAAGGTATACAACAGCAACCCGGATCGCTTCGTCGGTCGTGTGATCCCGAAGTCGACTCCCGTGATTTTCGACGACACTACACGTTGTCGACGCTCTGATCAAGAAGCGCATCTTCAACCGCCAACCTGAGTACTTGGTCAAGTGGCACGGGCTCCCTCACCATGAGAACACGTGGGAACGCGAGTGCGACATCAAACACGTCAGCCACTGGCAAGCGCTGCTCAAAGATCTTCACCAACGCAATCGAGTGGCACGGGCCTAGTGGAATTCTCTTCAACAGAGGTTTCACGATACTGTTCCTTACACCGAGGGTCTGCGGTACTACCAACTTCAACTTCGGCGACTTCAACGTTCAAGGTGCTGGGACTCGCTCAAGTCGGGGGGGGGGGGGGAGTGTAATGATCTGCACGTGCAAGAGCAGAACACAACAACATCATCAGTTGAGTCCGCACGCAGAGAGCCCAAGTCGTCGTCTGCATACTCACCGGTTGCACAAGCTCCTGATCCGGCACGCCTCAGCCAACCACTTCATGTTTAGGACCGAGCGCCATGAGCGCGCCCCCGGGTAGATGGATAGCAGCAAACAGACAAAGACATCAATTCAGTTTCCATTTTACTCGCAACACAACAAGCACAACCAGAACCTTACAGTCCTAATCTACCGCTCTCGCCGTACTGTCAATTGCCGCTAATAGGGCAACTTGTGAACAATATTTCAGTGTACTTGGGCGGATCCACACACCGACGCGAAACTGCCTGAAAGCTGCCAAAACAAACAAGGCTGCGATTAAGGTTACTAGTCAAGCTATTCGGGAACGCGATCGCCAAGAAGCGGGTGCAAGCGTATCAGCAGAATGGTCAATTGATGACGATGATGAAGTCGTGGAGGAGGACAGCGAGGGCAACAAGTACACGGGCCGTATTATTCGACCGGTGGAGCTCGAATTTCGAGGTGATAACTGGGCAAATACATCGGCGTCAACTCGAACAGCAACGGGTAGAACGACTCACGCAGCAGGTCGTCCATCTCCAGCTGCATTTCCATCCGCGTCTCGAAACCCAGCGGCTGACGCTTTCAGTCGTCCAGATGTGAGCTCAAGCCGTGCGCCTCCTACCCCAAGTCGTCTCCACCTCATATCGAGAAATGTGCCAGCAGCTCTCAGCCATTCAGGTTCGCGTGCTGGGCTTCCTCCTCGCATTTGAGGTAGCACATCAATCCACCGTCGGCTGTTGGATTTTTCAAGTTTTGAAACGGAGTTGGGATAACCGCGCAGCAGTTCCAGAGTCAGAAAGCGTTGTTGAGGAGCCACAAGTCGAGCCATTTTCTGAGCAAGACAACAACGGACAAGACAACAACCAACGAGACAATCAACCCGACTACAAGAGCACACGATCTCCTTGCCAACTGGGCCGCGGTTTTTGCTTAAGTGCCGGGTCCTCAGCCTCCTCCTGAAAGGGCCGATAACGATTCGGATGTCACAATGGAAGAAGCCACAGACGACATAATGACGAGCGATGAACATCTTCGTAGCCAGCCTTTTCCCGACTTTAACGACACCACTTTTCCACAAGAGCCGAGGACACCTCCAGGTCTGAGAGGAATGAAGACATCACTGGTAGCTTTGTTCACCCTACCGAGCAGCGTGTAGCATGGAGCCAACGTCGAAGCGTATCCAGCTTCAAGTGCTCCACTTTCCCAGAAAGGTTACGCCGCTACTGTTGGAGTACCTGGACCTGCAACGCGTCAAGTGGCAAGCACTTTGTCTGATTGATCGAAGCATCACGCGTCGACTAGCATAGTGCGTTCCAAACGTCGATTAGCAGTAACTCAAACATCGGTCATGGCAATTAGTTGTGAAGACAATATATACGACATACATTGTACATGAAGTACACTTTAATAAAGTGTATAAAGTGACTTTATTACTACTATCCTTCTCTTTATCTTCGCTGTTGAGGTACGATGAATCGCAAGCTTGGCGGGGCATCCTGAGCGCTCTTGTGGTCGTTCGCTTGCTCGCAGGGCGTTAGGCAGCAACTGCTAAGCGAGCTCAGTGAGCCAGAAAACGAGTGGGTAGACGGCGACTGCGGAAAGAGCGCAGCAAACCGCGGACAGGATGCGAGGACGCGGAGATCTAGCATTTTGAAGAGCTCGTTGAAGCGTTATTATTTATATCAGCTGATACACGTGGTAAATTGGTTCCCTCGGCAAATTGGTGCGGTATTGGATAATGCACCCCGAAAACGCCCCAAATCCCAAAAAAATTCCCAAATGATTTAAGACCGTGGCAACGTTTTGGTACATATTTAGGACATGTGATATCTGGCAGCGTAGGAAGCAGTAGGAAGCGTCCAAACCGAAGACTGAAGACGGAGTGTGCAGATGCAGGTAAAGCAGATAATGATGCATTAGACCGAAGGCTTATCGGACTGACAAGTAGAACTAAATGCAGGCGATCTGTCTACAGGGAGCCTAGAGGAAGGTCGTCAATGTGATGGGAATTTCGCGTGCATCGAACCAATCGATGTTCCGTGCGTGTGCTTCTGCTCCAGTGTTCGAGATGCAGCAGGACTCCAGCGAATCGTACACAAGTACGCGTGGCAGCAGCCACTCAGATATTACAGGACAGAATAACCTTCAGTATGAAAGAGCAGCACAGGGCGGACACTCGCGCGTTGGCTCTCGTCTGCGGACTTAGCGACGGGTCTGCGGGGGGCCCGCCCCTCTCTCGCTTCGCTCGGGGGGCGCCGCTGCACGGCCTGCCCCACCCTCTTGTCCCTTACGGCTGCTACTTAAAACCTGTTGCAGAAATACTGAATGACCTGTTGCCCCAAAATCTACTGAATTCCTGCTGCCATAGTCTGAATGCCTGTTGCGTTGGTTAGGTGAGATTGGGACAACAGAAATTCAGGGCTGAATAGCTGTTAGAGTAATTAAGATCAAAAAGTTGATGTCATTATAATGTAGCTGCGAGCTATTGTGTGCGCCTCATCAACGTGCTGGGGGTTAAGGCTCAAAACCACCAAGGTCACCATCGTGAGCGACGACATGCTGCGCAGTGTGTCGGCCGGCGAGGTCAAGTGCGTGGCTACAGTGGTGGAGCTCGGTATGAGGTACATGAAAGATCAACACGAGACTCGACAACGCCGCCACCCACGAGATTACCAATAAGCAATGGGCATGACCAACTCTACGCAAGACACTGGTCATCTCGCTGCTACAGTCAGTGCCCAAAGTAATTAAGCTGTTCAACGAGGTCATTCTGAACAAGGGCGAGGCGGACTGCGCGACTAACTCGCTGGGCTACTTCGAGAGTCTGGGTTTTGTGTGTCCGCCCGCCCGAGACATTGCCGACAGTTTGCAAGACTGGATACCGCCGAACAGTGCAAGTACAGGTACGAGGGCGAGCTCCTGCGCTGCGTGGCGTACTTCCCGCAGCGCGCGAGCGAGTTCGTCGATATCTTCCGCGCGTCTAGCACCTACGCGGGCACGATGTGAGCACTGAAGGTGCAGCACCAGCTCGCGGGCTAGCTGAGAGTTTCGTGCTCGGAAGAATGGTCTACTGTGTGGTCATCTGCTACTACTTGATCGTGTTGTTACTGACGAATCTGGTACTCGCGGCTTGGTTCTCCTTGCTGCATATTTCCATATCGCTAAGCCGGGTTCGACCCTCAGTATCACCTTCTTGATCCTGATCACCGCCTCCGGTATCCGGTTAGCTTGCGCGGTGCCGACGTGCAAGTCGCAGTGAACCCGTATCGCGCGGGCGAGTTCGACTTGCGCGTGTACGACGGCCTCAACTACAGCACACAATTCAACAAGAAGATGGACGCGTACTAAATATCTATTGAAATCGACCGGGCTTGTATGAGAACTTCGAGAAAGCGACTGTGCCGTCAGAAGACCCGTCAGAAGTGAGGACGGCGTATGCTCTGGTTGCGGCCTAGGCCACCATATCAGCAACGCGCGAGGTGTGCTGCGCCCAAATAACCAAAGGGGTCCCTCAATCTACTTATAGTGATCAGCCGTACCATACCGGGCTCTGGTGGGGACATTCAGGGCAGGCAAAACTATGCTTATGGATGTGATCACCGTCCGAAAGACTTGAGGCATCACCAACGCAAAGCTCCTATTCAAAGGCAATGAAGTTACTGTTCGGTAGCACATGGGCTCCTGCGAGCAGATGGACATCCACTCAGACGCAACGACAAATAAAAAAAATTGAGCACGTCCCTCCACTAGGACAGCCGTATCCTGTACAGCAAAAAAAAACACGGTGAACGAGTGTATGCGGACACGATCGTGGGCGACAACTCGGTGGAGCAGATAAAGCCGCTCAAGCCCTGCGCAGCATGTCGTCGCTCACGATGGTGACCTTGGTGGTTTTGAGCCTTAACCCCCAGCACGTTGATGAGGCGCACACAATAGCTCGCAGCTACATTATGATGACATCAACTTTTTGATCTTAATTACTCTAACAGCTATTCAGCCCTGAATTTCTGTTGTCCCAATCTCACCTAACCAACGCAACAGGCATTCAGACTATGGCAGCAGGAATTCAGTAGATTTTGGGGCAACAGGTCATTCAGTATTTCTGCAACAAGTTTTAAGATTTTTCCACTATATAGACGATGATCAGTCACCTCCGTTTTGGTACATATTTGGGATAGTTTTATGAGGATGCAGTCGTATACTTGGCCCCAAATTCTCTGGATTTTATATCCAGAGTCCATCCAGGCATGCCAATGGCGGTCCTAATACACGGAAACTAAATACCCTGACCAATCAGATTTATAACGTTGGACAAAAAGCTGATTCTTACCTTCGACAATATATATCCAGCTGTGTTATGATATTATGCTCGTATGTTGACCCATCCAGTGAAGATTGAGACAACATGCCTAGGAAATGTTCTTCTCTGTCAGATCAAATAAAGTATTGTCAAAATCGATTTATCTGCCAGGAAGTCGGGGAAAATACATATTACCCGTGGCAAATGATAAATCCATCCTACTCGAGCAACATGACGGATGCCCGCCAAGTCGGCCGAGAGCTCTGCATCGCATTAAGTCGACCGAGAGCTCTGCATCACCTTTCGCTCCAGCCCCTCCTCGTGCAGCTCGAGTTCATGTGGCTAAAGACTTTCGGATTCGTGAAGAGCTTGTTAGAGCGATAACTGACTCCCGTGTTGTCTCGAGGAGGCTTTTGGAGACCACATGAAGAAGTTTGCTCCGTACAACTCGTTCACATGTTACCGGTTCTCGCGCATTAACGGCGGTGCTACTGTCACCCGCTTCGTAGCCTATGTTGTTAGGCTTCTTACAAGCTTTCTTGCCGACAATTGGCACGAGTCAGCTTGTCTCCATACTGTTGCTGTCACGAGAAGAACATGATAAGATGCTCCAGTCATTGTGGTCCTGTGATCACTGGCAGTCCTTCGGCAAAGCTACAGCAACGCGCAGCAATGGATGAAGATATTTGAATTTGAATTTGTTGCGGTTTAGACGGCTAACTACACCCAATGCCGCGCACTGCTGCAGCGTCGCCTACGGATCACGTGCCTCCGGGGCACGAGCCCGCGGTAGTAGCCCAAACACACGGGCACACGTCACTCAAACGCCACTACGGCATGTGAGCAAAGTATACCCCTACGATATCCAAGTGCTAAAAGAAATATAAACCCCCTCCTTTCGCGCTTCGTCGATCCGGAGTTCACCACCTCCAGGCGTCCCTCCAACACGTCGTTCCCCCTTGCCCGCCGCACACCTTCGCTCTCTTCTCGCGCTCCACTGATCCGACGTTCACCACTGCACCACGCTCGTCGGAATCATATCCCAACACCACCCTTGCCTTGCAAGGCAGCATGGTCAGCAGCCTGCACTCTCTCCGCCGTCTCGATCCGGCGTCCACCACCTTGACGCATCCCTTCAACACCTTGTTCACCCTTGTCCCTCACTTCTGCCTTGCACTACGTCGATCCAGTTCTCACCACTGCGCCACGCTCTCTTCGCTGTCTTGTGCTGCGTTGTTAGGCCATGAGTTGCTTCTGCGTTGCTTACCGTTTTGCTTAGCCTGTTTTGGCACTAGGCCGGCACCCTTCGTCGACCCTGGCCACCTTGAAGATCCCATTGCTGTCGTCTTGCTCCTTCCTGGGCTCCCGAGGCCCAGGAAGGCCAAGGACCCAGAGATCCTTGGAGGCGACCCCTGACACTTCTCTGCGACCCGTCAAATTTTGGAATCCAGCAATGGATGAAGATAAATGAGTTCACCGCAACAAATCTAAATCCAAATGCTCCCGCGGTCTAGTCGTTCAGATTGGATAGCGCCGGCTTGATCAAACTGTAAAACTGTAGTATGAAATAATACCAAGCATCCCATGTAAATGCACATGCTGCTGTGCTGCGCGGCGCAACCTGCGCCCAGCGCGTATAAAATTGTGAATCTGTCTTTGGTAGGAATCACTAGGCACCTAGTCCACAAATTAGTAGCGATAGTACTAATGTAGCACATTCGAAGTATTACAATACCATAGTAATAGTACTTGTGTAGTGTTCATGTAGTGACCATTCACACAATTAATATAGCAAATTGCGAGTGTATTTTCAACCCTTTATATTTTTTTTCTAGATAGCCGCTACACTTCTTCCAACGCTCGTGTTTGGTAGACAGCGTTTGTGCGAACATTGCTAGGGAATGTCAGTAATATTTTGAATATCAGTATTCAAAGGGCTTACTATGTGTGGTAGTCTGACCAATCCTTCCTGACGCTCAGAACACGATGACATTCATAAAGCACTGACCTTTTAAGCTCCGTGGTGAATTGTCTTGACTTGCTTCTTTATCTAACGGAGCCAACAGGGTGAGCGAGATAAGATCCGTGCCACAAGTGACAGCAAGCTATCCGATGTTGATAGTATTGACACGTGACCGTACTACATTGATACATGTAAGTACAAGAAATGATTTTAAAATCCAGAGCTGTTCCGGGCGAATGCACGGCTTTGTATGTACCTAAATGTTACAGAGACAATTCATTATTTGGAACATTTGGGGCGATTTGGGCACATATTTGGGACGCATTATCAGCTTCCAGTGGTGCCTGTACCCTTACGTATGGGGGGAAATTCTGCGCGAAGACGGTTTCGGCAAGGGAATGCTCCGCACCGACAAGTGGAAGGATCAGTACAGTCACCTGACAGTTTAACAAGAGGTTCCCGCCGACCTTCACGGACTCTGCCGACGGGGAGATGCTTCTTCAGTGCCATTCGGATTGCTTGCCACGTTCTCGGCGACTGCAGCATTGTGCCGCTACATCTAATTAATGATTTCGAAGCTAAGCACCTGCAAAAGAACGCTGAGGAGCAGCAGGAAGGCACTTTAAACGCAAGCGATTTCTGTCGTGAGCGCCGCGCAGCGACACACGGCGGGGGAAAGTAGCCATGATAGTGAGGACTTGGGCGCGCCAACGTGCATGGGCACCTTGGCACGGTCTAATATTAATTGACGGCTTCTTGCTGCCGAGCGCTGCGGTGCTTCGGCTGCGGGGCTGCAGTGGTGGAGGCCTGGGGGGATGACAGCGCTCCATGCATCCGTTGGGTCTTGGTTGCTCTTGGCATGGCACTGGGGTGGGCAGGATCCACGTCTTCAACCTCGCCACTTATCCGTCGAGCGCCGAGGTCACTATCTCATGGATGCCAAAGGTGGTGACTTGGCCACTTCAACCTACGATCACCAAAAGCGGCAACAATACGAGCAGGTTAGCGCTGCATGATCGTACTTTTCGAGAGGGCATCGCCACTGTGGTGTAGTAGCACGCACAAAATCGTCAGATGTGGCACCCTAGCTACAAACACAACAACAGCCGAGGTAGTCGGCCCTTGTGGGCCTGCGCTGAGATGTCCCCCAGCGGTTCGGCCCTTCCGGGACAGTGATGTCTCGTCCTCGCCGAGACCAAGTACCCCAAGCCAGTCAATCACGGAAGCCAGCTGAGTTACCTGACTCCGGAATTAGAAATCCCGTGCCCTCCGCCAAAGGACGGACGACGGCCCTCGCGGGCTTTTACGGGTCGCCGAGAGCAAAGGCTTCTCGACTCAGCAATCAGTGCCCGGGACGTACGGGAACACCGGCTCGCAACGGTGGCGAGACTTTTCCTTCGCGCTTGGCGAGACACGCGCCCAACCCGAGCCGACCTTAATCTCTTGGCGCTACCAGTCAACACCCTACAAGCTATGCCTCTCGGGTGCTGACAGCAGACATAATCCGGCCCGTGC